GCCTTTCCCCGGCAGCATCGCAGCACCAGTTCCCAAATGTTCCCTTGACCCTGGAGTCATGCACCAGCTCTCCCCACTCCTTGGATCTGCCTTGGCTCTGGATTTGTCCAACCTCTCCCAACCCCAGCTCTGGGGCCAGGCTTCAGAAAACCCAGCACAATCTCTGCAGGTTTGCTGGAAAGCAAAGATAAGGGATGTTTCAAAGCACTGTTGTGTTCTTTCTTTTCTTCACGGGTTACAGCACTCAGTTGAGCTTTGCTTTGTGGTGACTGCAACTTTTCTCAATGTTTTTGTTGTTTTGGGGGACTGAAGTTGTACCAAACTTGTCTGCAACAGCCAATCACTGTTATTTTGCTATGCATTGTACATATATTGAACAGGCTGAGAGGACTTAGCCTCTATTTAATATTTATTTCTTCTATTTATTGAGCATTACTTTTAAAAAGCTATTTGGGTCTTGCTGTTGGGTCCATGAAGGTAGGAGCCTTTGAGGTGTTGCCATGTGCATTGGAGAGAGGTTATCAAAGAGGTGAATTACTGAGGCTGTCACCTGCCAGCACCGAGGCATCTGGCAGACAAATTAGGCTCATTTGGAGATCAACCACCAGTGATTTAGGGAGAAACCTCCTTTAGATGGAGACGAGCAAGGCAGGGGAAAATCCTCCATCTTCTTGGACCAGCTTCTATTGACAAATCACAACCCCTTGGAAAGGCGCTGGGCATTCGGAGGCAACAGGCTAGCTGTGGCAGAGAAGTAACCCTGCTCTTCGTCCTCTGCCGCATAGGGCTGCTTGGATTGCCAAAGATCCCCGGAGACCTCTGACCTCCCACCACGGACCTCTCTTGGCTCTCAGTGGTTATTGGGGGAAGGGGGGACTTGTCGCCCTTTCATCAATGTGAGGAAGGGGACAGGGTTGAAGTGACTTGCTGTGGTCTCTACCAGAAAGCAAGGATGTCCACGCTGCCTCATCCCGAGACCATCGTCCTCGTGCCACGTGCTGCTTTGCCTCCTTCCCTGAGCTTTGTGCCAGAACCAGTAGCTTTGCCTGGATGTCGTCTCCAACATGAGCCAGAGCTTGCTGCAGGCATCTACCCTAGCTTTGAAAAAAGCATGGGATGTGCTAAAAATCACAATCTGCCCCAGTGTCATTCCACCGACGCTGCAGCCATCATCCTCTTCACCCGAGTGGGAGGTGTTTGTGCTCTGTGGGTAGAGCTGCCCGGGCTGGTGGAGGGTGGATGTGGCTCCGGCATTGGCAGGCAAGTGGCCAGCACTGGGCTATTCCAGTGGAGCTGCCCAGGAGCTGTGGGGTGCTCAGCCTTGGGGCTAACATGGTATCTGTTTGAGAAAGGGATGGATTCAGGTGCCTAAGTGAAGATGTTGCCCTTTAGTGTCCAGTGGGGTTTTAGTACCTCTGTCCCAGAGCATAAATCATTCTCATGTCTTTTGCTGCTACCTGGAAGTTTGCACATGCCTGGGAGGGTCTCCGCAGCACTGGTACATCCACTGTTGTAGCAACAGCTTCATGGTCAAGCATCCCGACTTTTGGGCAATTACCTAGAGAAGAACACCCTGACCCTCACCAGCCCAGGGGCAGCTCTCCACCTTTGAAACCCAGGGAATGAGAAGATCTAGAACAAAAGCCAAGATGGGAGAAAAGCTGCAAGGGAAATGGTGTCTCTGTTTTCTTGCCTGTTGGTCGATTCCTTACCAAATGACACCGGCACATCTGTTCATTTGATTTCATTGTAAAACTCCCTTTGCTCTCCATCAAAATGCATACTGTATTCCTTAGTCTTCCTGGGGTATTTGAGTTGTTAGCCTGGTTAGAAAAAGGGTTCCAATAAAGGTTCAGACAGTATTTCCTTCTCATTGCAGCCCTGTTTGTCATGTTCCTTTTAGATCTGACTGTGCGCGGTGGGATATTTTGGGTTGTTTCAGCTGCTCCGCAGGGAAGGCCATGTGTCTCTGCACCCAGCTGCCGAGGACCAGCTCCTCGGGGCACTGGCTGAAGCAAAAAACGTTGTAGGCTAGGATTTCTGGCAGCTCTCCCTTCCTTGCTGGGCCAGGCTTTTGCTGCCCTTTGCCAGGCATTTTGGGTTCCCCCCGGCCCCATTCAGGCACCGGTAGCCCCAGCCAGAAATGCAGCCGTCTTGCCATGGAGATCAGTGTTTGGGCTCGCCAGTGCTCTTCCCTGCCTGCACAGCCCTCGCTCCAAGCCCTGCACGGTGCTCCCTCACTGCAGCGTCCCCCCGCGGTCACCTCCTTGGCCATCTCCCTGTGAGCAAGGGGGCGGTGGGGACTCTTCACCACCCCAGATGATGCCCCTCACCCTGGGATGCTCTCCCGGACTGGCCAGGAACCCCATGGGGAAGCAGTAGCACTGGTTTGGGTCCCCCTGCTGTTCCCAGTGGGGCTCAGATGGGCACCCAGGAAAGGTCTGGCTGCAGCACAGGTGGATACTGGGGACATGGGGCAGCATCCCCAGGTCACTCGGAGAAGGGAGGCCGCAAGGCTGCTGCACATTCCCCAGAGCTGATGGCTCAGTGGTGGGAGGCAGCTGGGAGACTTGGAGTGACAACAGGAGCTAAATCGGGATGGCCCGGAGAGGGCAAGAGCTGGCAGGAGGGGATGTGTGACTAATGGGGATAAACAAGGCGACAGGGAGGATTCCTGGCTGGGGAGGGAGGATGACCTGGAGCTATGCAGGGAACTGCAGGACTGGAGATGTTGAGAGGCTCCTGGAAACACGGCAGGATCGTGGGACTGCCTGAGACCTCCTTGGAGCTCGTCCCCCTCTCCCCACGGGCCAGTGTTTACCTGAGCAGGTGCAGAGCTGGGTGCTGGGGTGATCCTGCTCTCCATCCAAGGTGAGAGTTGCCCAGCTGAGCTCAGGCTTGGTGTGTGGCGATGTCCCCCGGGACACCCTACTGTCACCCCCAGGCAGCAGGAGACCCCAGCCGAGCAGGGGCAGCCTGGCAGGACAAGGCGACAGAGGGGGATGCCCTGTCCTCCTGTTGGCAGCTGCCTCCCTGCACCCAGGGGTGCTCAGCCAGCAACTGGGACCTCCCCAAGCATCTCCAGTTGTCCCCCTCAGTCCCCAGGGAGACCCCCACGATGTCCAGCTGTCCCCCCAAGCATGCGGGGCAAAGGAGCTGAGCACGGGGGAGCAGCCCTGCCCCGCACCAAGGGGCAGCTCCCTCCCTCAGCGATGCGGCATCCGTCCAGCGTGATTAATGCCATTGGAGTGACCAGCGGCTGAATTGCTGTGCGGCCTGCACTGCATTGAAGTCTTCCTGCTGTAATTAGCTCCATCAAGTCTATTAGAAAAATTGCAGATGCTGGAGAGAAGGAGCATGAGGCAGAGCCAGGAGGGAGGATGCAGCATGAGGAAGTGGTCCCATATCCGGCATGACCCTCATCGATGACATCCCATCCTCCGGCGCATCCCATTGCCCACCCAAGCCATGCCTGGACCACCTCCGTGGGGAGCTCCTCGTTGCCTCCAGGTAGTCCCACTTGCATGGTCGGGGCCGTGTCGCCCCGGGTGGATGCTTGCCGGGAGCTCTCCCACCACCGCCGCCGTGTGCCTTCCCACGGCGTGCTGCCCGCTCCCTGCTGCTGCCCTGTAATTAGCCCTGCTGCCGCGCGGCTGTGATTACCGCCTCGCCCTGCCTGCACACGGCAATTGCGGCAGTGCCGAGGCACGCTGTGGGGTGAGGAGGAGAAGGGCAAGAAGGAGGCAGGTATTGAGCAGCGCCGCGAGGACCCTGCTCACCTGCTGCCCGGGGTCCCTCTCCTTCCCGCAGTTAGGGGACAATTCTCTGGGCCCACCTGGGGAAGGCGGCCAAGGAAGCGGGGCCGGAGACGGGCATCCCTTGTCGCACGGCTTTCCTCCTGCAGCCCTGCTCGTACCCGGGCTCTGCAGGCAACCCCGGGTGGCTGAGACTCCCATGCTCCTGGCCACAAAAAGGGTCCACCCCCTGCCCCAGCATCCCCCAAATATCCACCCTCAGGATCCTGCCACCCTTGCAGCGCTGTGCCAGGGTGCCACCAGTGACCCACTTCCCCATACAGTGGGCTGCTCGGTGGCACGGGGACACGTGGCTTTACAGTGCAGGGAGCAGCTTGGCCCAGCCCCACCAAGGGGGTATTTTTAACAGGTGACACTGGGGTGAAAGCAGCCGGCCCTGAGCTTGGGAGCTATTTTGGGTGGGCAAGCTGGGCCCAGGGCAGAGGGAGGGGGGGGTGGGGGACAGGGCAGCTGGTGAAG